TTAATAAAAGATCAAAAGTTACAAGGAAGACTGTGGAAGAAAAAAAAATAACAGAAAAAACAGCTTCGTGGATTCGACACGCAATCGTTCGAAGTCAATGAAAGCAACAAATGTAGCATACAGAGCTATAGTAATAGAAACCCGAAGTTGTCGAAACAATCGATTAATGCAAAGCAACAAAGGAAACACGGAGAAAATGCAACAAATTGGGACATTATGCTAGAGTTTGCATGTCCAAGAACAAAATTCGAAACAGTAACAAAGAAGTTTAGCATAAAACGAAACATGTAAAAAAGATAATAACATTGAACGACACAGAACAAAGAAACAAAAGGAAAGAACAATTCAACGAATATGTTTTGACTACAAATGACTCTGGATTATCATCAAACCTAATTGTCTACAAGAATAACAGTAGTAGTTACAAATTTAAATACCAACTAGATACGGGCGCAATATGCAACGTAATCGGCAAAAAAGACCTATTAGAAATAAGAAATAATAGAAATAAGAACACTAAATAAGAACACAATAAAAACTCTAGATGGAATTCACATAACGTCCACTACAATCAGCTCGAAGATGGCAAGAGATGGAACTCATAAAAATATGCAATAATGTGAAGGAAGATACCAACAATGAAAGCACATTTTCCATTATAAACGAATACAAAGAGGTATTCGAGGGGCTAGACAAAATCGAAGGAAAAGTTTCAAACAGTAGAGATAGATGAAAATATAACACCAAAAAAAGAATCACTAACGCGTATCCCAGTATCATTACGCGAGGAACTACAAATTACTCTAGATGAAATGGAGAAACAACACGTTATAACCAGAGAAATCGAACACAAAGAATGGGCGAGCAATTTAGGAATTGTCAGAAAAAAAAATAAACTGAGAATATGTATTGATCCAAAACAACTAAATCAAGCACTAAAAGATGTTAAATATCAACTAACAAGGAAAGTCTTTACAATACTGGATGCGAAACAATGGTGTTGGCAACTCAAATTAGATGAGAAAAGCAGCAAACTCACAACATTTTGGACACAATTTGAAAAGTATAGATTCAATCGTTTGTAATTTGGGTTTTCACCAGCAATGGAAATTTTTTAAAAAAAACCAAAATTATATAACCAGTTTATATAAGATTTAGAAGGAGTTGTATGCATAGCAGACGATATCCTAGTTTTCGGCAAAGGGCAAAAGGCAAATTAAGGGTATAGGATATGTAAGTAAATTTATACCAAATTTTGCAACAATAACAGAGCCTTTGTGCCACCACAAGATAAAAACAGTTAATATCTTAAGAAAAGTGATAGCAGCATGGACAAAGCAATCGTAACACAAATAGATGCATCGTCATATGCATTAGGTTATGTATTATTGCAGAAAGGTCATCTAATAATTTAGGCTTTAAAAATTTTAAGTGAAATGCAAAAAAACTATGCACAAATCGAAAAAGAGATGATAGTAGTTCTATTTGCATGCAAAAGATTCGATCAATATATTTGTGTCAGATCATATCTAATAATTGAAACAGATCATTTACCCTTAATCAATATTTTCAAAAAATCACTAATTAAAATCGATCATCTTGACCTTACAACAAGTGAAATAAAGCAAATGGTACATAATTACGAAATTAGTTGCACATTAACCGGAATGTGCCAATGAGTGTATTCGAAATGAACATAAAGATCATTATTCAGACTTTTTCGAAATCAATGAATTAAAAAGCTTACCAACAAAATCGACAGATTACTTATGTAGAAAAATCTTTAGCAGATACGGTATGCCAATGATAGTTATAACGGACAACGGCACAAATTTTGTAAATTCGAATTCAAAAAATTCAATTATTAATTAATTAAGTAGAACGATAATATCATGTTTTATTTATAAAGAGGTTTTTTCGAACAGTAGTGAACAACAACAACAAAAAATTTATTTTTTATATTATTTTAATTAATTGAATTTTAGCTTGACCATACAGATGTTGCGAGTATTGTCAAATACCCATCATTAGTGGTCTTAAAATAATCCTTGTATTTAATTATTCATTTATGAAATTTGACAAGATATTAACTGAGACATCACAATAGCTACAATTCTAGAACTCACCAAACGTTTGTTATACTTTCGTTTGTAAGTATACATTTAGTTAAAATTTCTCGGAAACTAATTGATTTGAGTGACTCATTTAACCCATTAATAACCGTTTATATTAATAAATTTTATGCAAAATAAAAAATGTTTAAAATGGAACCTTTCGTTTCATTTTACAAATGAAGATGAAGGTGGCATTCATTTGCATTGGTCTACCAAAAAATGTATAAAATGTTAGGTAAAGCAAAAAGAAAAAAAAATCAAATCTAAGGATGCCTCAATATAGCTAAAAAAAGTCTATAATAATAAAGTCTCTATGAAGTCGCTTAAAAAAATTTTTATAAATAGTTTGCTATCAATTTCGAAAGAGTTTGTAAAGAGAATTGATAAAATCTAGATCATATATGATAATCTTATACGAAAAGTTTTGATAAAAAAAAAATGAGTCTCTATTATCGTTAAAAAGCCAGAATTGATGACAATTCTGATGATGATCATGATGTTTTACCATGATTATAGTAAACCATACATCATGACATATAAAATGAATTCATAATATAATATAGTGTAAGGACACTGGACTCTCAGCATATCATTAGTACCAAGATTTACAATAACTTTATTGTAAGTTGAACTCAAGTTCCTAAAAAATTTTCACAAGTTTTTCAAAGTTAAAATTCCGGAATGTTAAATTTTAAAAACATTCTAAAAATAATTTTAACCTAAATATGTAAGTTTTTGGATACAAACGGTATACTGCCAAATAAATTTTCTTGGATCCAGTATTTATATTGTTTAAGGAAGAACACAAAACAACTATAAATAAAATAACATTTTTTCCGCAATTGACAAACAAACCGACAGTAGCAAAACTATGCATTGTAACAACACTATTATGAATGGGTGATCTGCTGCAATATTGAATACAATACAGAAATTGGAAGTAGAATCTACTGAACATATCTTATGTATTATTATCTGCAAAAATTTTATTTCGAAATTCAATTTCATTTTGCGCTTAACAAAATCAAAATCAACAAAAAAATTAAATAATAACTATTCTAAGAATTGACGATTGCAAAGATATTTCTTATTATTTCAACGGTATTATTATTGTTGAAGTCGCCTCTTCTTTTTCAGTGTTGTCATTGTTTTTTTTTTAAATTTATTTCATGTTTTAATATTAACATTAAAGAAATCAAAAAGAGAAAAATTTTATTATATTTCTACAAACAATCAACAACAACTAAAAGGATCATAAACAATTAACTTGAATTGCCAATGTCAGCCAATGTGACAACCAACAACACTACCACTAATAAGGACAATGACGGTGAGTACATTTAATATGATTTTTTTTGTTTGTAATTCGCTTCAATTCACTTTTTATTCAAACTTTGTTAATAATTTATAAACTAAACTAAAATTTTTTGGCCGACACATAGGAATATATAGTTTTTACTGATGTTTATATTATGAAAGTTTTGACAACAAAAACCAACATATTTTATTAAACCTTTACTTTTTCAAACTGAGGGATTATTCTAAATTGAACAATTGTAATATAAAATTAATTCATATCCAGAAGTATATAAAAATTGTCCTATATTTTTCTATGTTGTATATACTTTGCCTGTGCATATAATAAACAATAACTTCCTAGCTGAGAAAAGG